GCAGAGCTCATCAGGCCCCGCCCACCTCTGGGGCTCCCAGTCAGACCATCACACAGCAGCCAGGGCCAGATGTTCCCCAGGAGGAGCAGCCATCGCCCAGCCCCCCAGCAGGAACAGAGAGCTGCTTCCTCTCTGGTCTGATCAGAGACTCCCAGATGCTGCTGTCAGAGCTGATCAGGGTCTGATCTGAAGCTTTTCAGGGTTTGAATCCAGCTGCTGTTCTCCAGCTGTTCTCCTACAGCTGTTGTCCTCCAGCTGTTGTCCTCCAGCTGTGGTCATCCAGCTCAGAGTGTCTGTTTCCTAAAGCAGGAAGTCTAAAATGACCCTCAGCTCTGATTCCAGCTGTTAGTGGACTGGTTTCAGCTCTCAGAGTTTCTTCTTCTCTGGATGCTGAACAGAGCTGATCCAGGAGCTGAACCTCATTCTGGAGGAGAAGCAGCAGAACTCTGGTTCTCTGGACTCTGGTGTGGTCAGAGGCTCAGATGTTGATGGTTTCTGTCAGAGTTTAACCAGCAGAGCAGGAAGCCTCCAGCTGACCTCAGACCAGACAGGAACACACTCAGTCCGGACTCAGCAGATCCAGGGACATCAGGAGGGGGAAAAGAAGCAAATCAGTGTAAATTAGACAGAAAAATGAACAGTTTGAGGATAAAAGGATCCAGAAACCATCCAGCTGAACCTGCACAGGTTTCCAGCTCAGCTCTTGTGGTGCTTCTGGACTGTGGAGGAAGGCGGGGAACCCACACAGAGCACAGACAGAACCAGAACCGGCTCCTGTGGGGGGGCGCTCTGGGCTGGACGCAGCGCTCATGGCCGAACACAGGAAGAGAGCAGGAGCCTGTGCAGCTTTACGGAGTCCCTGTGGAGGGCTGAGCTGGGCCTGCAGCCCCCCCGGCCCCCCAGTCTGCCAGAACACGGAGGTCAGAGGTCAGCGCTGTGCCCGAGAGGCTCCGAGACGCTGGAACACGCTGCTCAGCCGGCCCAGAATGGCTGAATGAATCAGAGCGCCGGAGAACTCCAGAGGCTGCATCGTTTGTTTCCATGGCGACCCGGCTTCACGCTGGAAGACAATTAACTGCAGACTCACAAACAAAATACTTTAATTCAGCGGCTAATGACACAGGGAGCGTTGGGGCTGTCGCTGGAGTCATAAAGGAGCAACAGGAGATGAGGGG